TGTGCATGGTTGGCAAGCATTTATGATATTCTTTGGTTACCCAAGTAAATACTTGCTGTGACTAAATAAATTCCTCTAAAAGTGGCCAAACGCCTGGTTGCCAGGATGCCACAGAGCATTAACTACGCGGTAGCGCGCCATGGAGCGGTCAGGAGTGGCAGCCCAACAAAACTGGGGCAAGAAAGTTACACATGGATGTGCATCAATGCATGTCGCCTAATTAGTGGATTTACATGGCTACGTAGTTTCTTCATGGCTGTGTTGTCTGCCAGAGGCTAGGGGCAGCAGTTGCCACCCGCCTCCTGCGATCCTCACTTGCGTAGAGGCTGTGGAACCCTCCATTTGCCCAACCAAAAGCCTGGATCCAGCAGAAGTAACTAAAAATACAATATGAAAGAAATTTGAGTAATATAACGGTCCGGTAAGATACATACGGCGCAGACCCAGCTTCTCTGTTGGCTGCTTTTCACGACTTGCCCCTGTTGACGTTGGCGTTCTGTTTGGGCCTGCTTTCCTCCCCCAGCCCTCTCTCTCTAGGCACGTGCTTGGCGAAGGTAAAATTATTCGCTGAAGACAAGGTCTTTTTTCCGTCTTTGAGACATAGCCAAGACGGCGGTAGATGTTTGTGGGGCTCGTTGAGTGTGAGAAACGCTCGCCGGCATTTCGATGCATGTTCGCCCCGAGGGTATCTCTCTCTTCGGCTCTGCTTCAAGTTCCCCTCTATTTCGCATGGTTTTCTTTGGTATCCTCAGAGCAGATTGATGCTCTTTTTTGCCTCTCTTCTGCTGAAATTTCAAAACACGTGCAGGCTGGACCACAACTAGTGCCTGTGTGTTAACCACTTGTGCAGGGGGCGTCGTTCTCTGATTATTTTACCCGCATTATTTCAAGCTTCTACAGCTCAAGACATCCAATATATCTTTGGGCTTTCGAAATATTGTTTTTGAGGATTTCTTTTGTATTTAGGAGTCGGTGACAAACGCCATCTTAGAGGAAGCGGCAGTGTGGGACGGGCAGTGCCGGCACACACACACAGAAAAAGCAGGGCGTTTGCATAGCAATAACAGCGGTAAAAGGGTGCTATCCAGGCGTTTTTTATGAATCTTAGCTACTGAGCACCTGAGCACTCGTCTGCTGTGGCAGTGTCTTCCAGCTTTCTTCCTGCTCCCTGTATCTCCTTAGCCGCGTGAGCGGTGACGGTCGAGAGGTTTTTGCGATCCCGATAGCAGCAGCAGCTGTGTCGTCGCAAGCACAGTTCCCCTGGTTTACCTTAGAAGTGGCATAACATAGCTTTCAAGGATTCGGCCTGTCTGTCTTTCCTGGGGGTCACCTCTCGCCGTCTTCAGCCAAGCTGACGTTAGTCTGTGGAGCATCGGAGGTGCAACAAGCAGCAACTAGCATTAGCAGCAGCTTCTGAGGCAGTAAAAGAATCTGTATCTTCGATTGTGGCATCAGCAGCAACAGTTGCAATAGCAGCCGCTGCAAACGCAGCAGCAAGGATCTCGTAATCTATTGCTGTACCTGGGCAGCTGTTTGGTTCACATGCGCCGCCTTGGTGGTAGACCGGAAAGTCTTAATTCCCTTCTACTGTTCTGACACTATCATCCTTTTTCCCGGAGACCGCTTTTCACAACCTATCAGCTGGAAGGTGATTAAAATGTCGTCACCTAAGGGCGGACTTCGAGGAGGAGATCACCAGGATCTAAGGGTCCTTTTCCTTCACGAGCTGGACTCTGCCCCAGGCAGTGAGAAGCAGCGGCTTCTTGAGAAGGCGCTTGGGAAGCAAAGAGTTAAAGCTCCCAACTTGAAGACGAGACAAACCATCATGATGTTTGTACTAGGCTTCCTGGTCTTAGCGATTTGTCTACTCAGCGGGATCATGTAGGATCCCCCCCCTCCTTTTCTGTTGTGGCAAATGGAGTGTTTGACGTAGCCTACTTTACTTCGTTGCAGTACGGGAACTACTGTACCCCGGAATGCGGTGACTGAAAGTGTCTTCTCTTGTCTTTTCGCCTGCGTGTTCCCCTTTGCAGTGCAGCTGCTGTGCTGGCAAAGTGGTATATCGGGCTTTGCGTGCTATTGGGTTCGGTAAGCAACAGATATTAGAAGCACTGCATGTTTTAATGCCTCTGGTGTTTTCTAAACGGTTAACAGAACCGTGATGCTTCAGTACCAAATATGTTAGATACCAGGGGTGGCTGGAACTCCAGCCAGTTCAGTGTACTTTTTATTAGTTCCATCTGTCTTTGATAATACTTCGTGTGAATGCTTTTGCGTAGGCAGTAGCGCTGGTAATTACCTACTGGTTCGGAGGGAAAGCTGCCACTCATTTCATGTGGCTTAAGGCTATTCGCATAGCCGAGAAGAAATTCAGAGAGCAGCGGTCAAACGTCATCGTCGCCACCTCCTTTGGGTCTGTCGTGGCCTTGAGCATGGATATTCCGAAAGTCCCCATGGTGAGAATCTCGCCAGATGGTTTCAGCTATTTCTTCGCAGTCCTATTATCACATTTGGGTCTTTCTTTAGGGGCAGTCCCATGTGGTTTCAGGAGCATAAAGGTAAGGCTAGCAATAGAGAGGGCGGGAGAAGAAGAGCTAGTACGTCTGCAGCATTTTCGGGAGGCTTGATGCCTTGTTCACCTTGTTTGTGAGCGTGCTCTATCAGCTGTTGCTGTGCCCCGCCCACGACCAGTACTCTCGCTTCATGCGTCTCCGCAATGGCTTCACTTTGCACGGAATTCCATACGTGCTAATTGTACACGGCTCGGGGGATAAAACAGTTCCGCTTGATGATTCTATCCGCCTGCTAGAAACGGCCGACGGCCCGGGTCGCAGCCGCTTGGAAGTGATAAGTGAGTGCCATTCGCATGTAGTAACAGTATCCACATGTGGCTTAGTGCCATTCACATGTAGTTACGGCATCCAAATGTGACTTAAGACCATGCTGAAGACAGACCCGATGCAGCTTTTCAGCAGCTTTTCACGCATCTTTGCCAGAGGGCAGCCAAGCAAGAGCAGGGAATGCTGACTTCTGTGTGTATTTTCTCTTAACAGATGATGCCCATGCGCTCAAATCCATCAAGCCTGAAGATCTGCGCCAGTGGGTAGACGAAGTTTTCACGCAGGGAAAGAGGCAAGTCAAAGCTCTCGCCGACTCTGGATCGAAGGGCGTGGACCCATCTCTTTATGAATGGGGAGATGAACCTGAGGCAAATGCTGATAAAGAGGCCAAGAAACAGACAGAAAACGAAGATGATAATTCCAGCAGAGGAACAAGCGCACCGCAGGAGCCAACAGGAGCGTCCAGTGTCTAATTGAAGACCAGGCACTGTAATAGGCTTGAGACTGGAACTTGCTGTCTTTAGAGCTACAGGCATTTAGTGGTTGCCTACGGAAATATTGTTTGCTAGTTGGTTCCTCTCAAGCAAGTCGCGGGGTATATTGCAGGTACAATTCAGCCGGTATTTGCAGGCTTTCTCCTATGGAAGCAGTTTGGTGGCGCCTGCCTATTTCTGCACCAATGCGAAGAATAATGCCCAGGAAATGATAGGCTGACTGATTACGCAGGAGGACTTTCGGATATGCGGCGCTGTCTGGCAGCCAGAAGACCCCAACGTGATGCAGCAGCAACATTCAGTCACAAGAACAGTTTCTTTCTTGTGGATCGGTTGTGTCCAGAAGGGCGTAGTCAGTGAGTTAGTAACATGTGGAGGGATGCACCCAGTAGGCGTATGATCAAGGTCGTTGCCTGTATCCCTTGGTGAGTGAATTGTTATACCGATCTCCCTTTACCCGGTAGATAGCTCTTTTGGGCAAAAGAGAGTCATGCTTGGATCTAGGAGGAGATCGAAGCCGTCTGCGTGAGCCCGTTGGCTCATGCTTTTTACCAGCAGCCGCCGCACTTCGTGTCTACTACGAAGAGGTGGGCGCATGTTGGTGAACTGCAGGGCACGGAAATCACAAAGTCGGGGATACAAGGCTGACGCAAGAGGTCTCACGTGCGTAGTTTCCTGAGCAGAAAAGTGGGAGTGAACTACTGCTGCTCAGGGCTACACGTGCTGTTGGTGCCCTGGAAGCATGACAGTATTTAGGGTTGGTAATCTGGTCAGCTGGTAAATTTAGGGAAGTGGTGTTCTTGAACGTAGCAGGGGGAGGTGAATACACCTTTAAACAAGGGAATTGCATTTCGTTAGAGCTTTTGGTACCTTTTAAACGCAGCAGGCATTGGGTCGCATAAGGGGACTAAGCGGAGTCGCCACGCCATTCCACCCCATCTGCTGTCCCCTTCAGCTGCTGTTCACGGCAGCCCAGAGACGAGGCACGATTTGATCTCTGCACTTCTTTTGCAAAACGTTTGGCGTTAGCAACTTTCAGGAAACTAGGAACTGCAAGGGTATAGGGTATCAATCGCTCTGGAGTGCTCGAGGTGTCACTGCTAACTGCGTTAGATGGTAGTGGGAACGAACTGTGCGCGCATGGGAGCTGCGGTGCCGTTAGTACTTGGCTCCAATTTGACAAGACAGCTTTTCAGCGGACGGCGCAGAAGCGTAATTGGGCCAAGAGCGTAGCATTGAAGTACAGACAAACGGAACACAAGACGTGCTAGGCAATCACCAGACTGCACACTTCTCCGTCCTAAAGTTAAGAACCCAGCTGCAGGTACTAGGATAGGCCAGCACAAAGAATGTACTGACCATAGTGTCTACACATTTTGCTAAGGCTCACGTTTCAACCAACGCGACACGGAGCTAGCTGCAGGAGATTCCGTTGAGAAGGCACGCTTGCCGTACTTCCAGTGCAGCGGGTAAATGCAGCGAATCATACACGGAGGGACGGGCCTTGGCGAGATTCAGGTCAAGCACTTTTGCTGCAACTGGCCACTACAGTGGTCGGGCTAGGCCCACTAGCCTAAGAACCAGTATTCCCCTATGGAAGATCCCAAATGGCGCTGCTGTAGGGTACTCACTGTATGACAGAGAGGAAGGTAGTTTCGCTTGTGCATCAATCTGTTGACTGCCTGCTTTTGTTTCGGTCTCGCATCTCTTGCTGCAGGGACACTATGCGCTGAAGTGTCTCCCTAGTTGTTTCACCAATTTGCAACAAAGAGGAAGAGCCGCTGCGGGCCCAACGGCCGATGATGGATAGAGCCTCAGCAACGGCCTCAGCCGTGCAGACGCCTCCGCTGGCTGCAATGCGGGCCGGTGGCGTTCTTATCATCCCGTAAGCCCCTGAGACTCGGACTGCCTCCATTGTGTCTTCGCTGTTGCTGCTGCCGCAGTCGGCAGCAACTAAATCAGCAACAGCAGCAGCAGCGACACCACCACCACCACAGTGGTCTGCCTGGCCCTCCGTCTTCAGAAGAGGCAGGTGCACGGCTGGCAGCTGCTGCAGCCAAGGAGTGGCTTTGAACATTTCTTTGGCCTCTTTCCAAGTCCCGTCGATAGCTAGTAGTGTCAACGGCAATCGAAACGGCAGAGTCCCTTCCCCCAAGGGAAAAGAAGACTCTGTGGGGAACAACAATACCATCCTACTGGTATCGCACAACACAGTGCCCTCCCGTGTACAAAGATGCTGTTGCTGCTGAGGCAGCTTTGCTTCCTTCTTGTCTTTAGGGTTAGTTGGAGCAGACACTTTCGGCTCCTCAACCGGTGCATCTGCAAGAACAGCGCGTTCAGCTGCTGTCTCGTGCCGTACCGTTTGCTCTTGCCTTAGTTCGTGCTGCTCGTGTTGCTGCCGTTGCTGCTGCTCCGTAGCAAACGGGCAGCATCCCGGCTTCCTGTGCGGCCATACTTCCAAGCCCTTGATGAGCTTCTGTAGCACTTGTACAGACCCGCTTTTTCTCTTTTTCTCGAGGGGATGCATAAAAATTAAAACTCTTTCAACTACACAGGAGACAGACTCATCAGATAAATTCAGCTCCCGGCCTTTGATGATATCGCAGTAGCAAACTGAACAGGGCCGGTCGCATTCAGCACACACACGACGACGCTTCACGCCGAGCAGCTGGTGTTCCTGTTCACCCTCCTGCTGCTGCGCATGCTGCCCGTGAGACTGCAGCCGTTGCCTGGAGTGCTGCTCATGGTGCTCCTGGCCGCAATAAGCTTCCCCCCGGGGTTCCTGCTGCTGGTGTTCTTGCATTGGCTGATATGTGTGTCGCTGCGTCTGGCCACGCCTTTGACGTCTTTGCGGGACTTGGTGTTCCGCCAAGCCAGCTATATGCAGCCCAAATGTCCCGAAAATTTCATGTGGTGGCCGTCTTACTGTTGCTGTTTCTTGTGGAGCTGGAGGCAATCCGGCTACCGCAACAGACATGTGCGTCACAGCAGAGGCATCCAATCAGACTGTGACCTAGTGCATTGCGGCTTTTGCTGCCAGGAATAGCAAATGATGGGACATTTCCGCCACTTCTTTGGCTGCCTCTGTCTGTGAAAATACAAGTTGGTGGCGAACGCAAGGTCTGCCGAGGTGTTCGCCCACGGCGATGTTGTTACGCAGCGCCAAGAGCTGTGCGGGGAAAGGAACGACCAAGTATCGAATACAAGCCAGCTGGGAGGAAAGGATGCGCACTGCACGACAGATATTTCTGCATTCACGGGGCTAACTTCTCGAGTACACGCATCTGAGTTGCTTCCTTCCCGCGCGCTTAGTGCTCCTTCGTCTAATTGAGGGGCATTTAGAGAACACAGCGCCAGGTTAAAAATCCATGTGGTAAGCATAAGGCAAAACTAGCCGGAAGAAATGTCATGTTATGGCAAGAAGGATATTGCAGTGCCGGGGCTGCATGTGTTCGGCAGCGGCCGACACATTGGAAGCAGTAGTGTACTGTGGAAGAAAACCAGATACCTTCGACTGGTTATGTTTTATTGCTTGCAGCGGGGCCGGATCAGTAACTTGCTGGAAGAGGAAGTAGTGTTGACTTCTGCGGAGACGGGGCGCTAGCGCAAGTGTTACTCAACGTAAATGGCTCGCCGTTTGCCATTGACGGAGATCATAAGCCTCGAAATTGAATCGTAATCCACGTTTTGTATACCAAAATTAATGCTAGGCCTATGGAGGAGGCTGTGTGAGCCAACTGCATGCCGTTTCTCCCGATGGATCCAGCACAGACCACAGGAGCTGCTGCAGCAGCAGCAGCTGCTGCTTCAGCAAACAGCGGCAACGCGCTTCAGCAGAAACATGCTGAGTACGAGCAGACGGCACTGCGTCTCAGCCTGTGCAGTGATGAGTCACTTGTCTCAGTCCTGAAGAAGCTGCTGCCGCGCGTGATACTGGAGCTAATGACTTGTCCCCCACCTTCTCTGCCCAAGGCAAGCGGCCGCAGCGTAATGTGATGTTGCACCTGCAGACACTTTCGCGCAGTCTTAGCCTAAGGAGCTGCTGCAGCTGCGGTCACCGCAAGGGGAACCGCTGCAGCGGCAATCGCAGCTTCCGAGTAGTCGTTGCTGCGTAGTGTGTCACAGCAGGAGCAGTATACATTGCTGCGTAGTGTGTCACAGAAGGAGCGTTATACTATTCATGTATCTATGCAGGTCATAAGTATTGTCAACAGCTGCCTCCGTCGGGTCAAAGAAGCACCAGCGGTGCCCGTGCCAGCCGGAGAGCTTCTGTCTTTCCTTGCTGCAGCAGAAGAACAGCAGCTCACAGGCAAGAAGCAGGAGTTGCTGGAGCAGCACCTGAAGCAGCTGCAGCTCCCACCTATACGGCTCAGCAACTTGTCTGTTGTCAGAGGCGTAATACCTCTGTTTCTCTCCGTTGCTGCGTCCCGCAGCACCCCGGAGGACCTTTGCTCTCTCGGTTTGCAGCTGCTAAACAACTTCGACAAGTGGACTACTACTAGTTACCCCAAAATGCTCTTGCTGCTTCTGGAATGTCTCACAGCTAACCAAGTCATACAGACGCTACGACAGAAAAGCAGCAGTAGCAATCGCAGCAGCAACTCCATGGGAGTGCGCGTCCTCAAGGCTCTGGCTGCAGAGAAAACGGAGGTACTATTAGCCACATCAGCTGCAGCAGCTAGCAGCAACGACATCAGCAGATTTCCTTGTTACAGCAAGCCTTCCTCCTCCTTCCTCGCAGCATTGCTGGCCATCTGCGAGTTGCTGCTGCTAGACGGGGGGTCTGGCACGACAGCTGCAGCAGCAGACGCGCAGCAGAAGCAGATGCTCCAGAAAATGGCCTTGCGCGTGGTGCAAAGCATTGACTTAACGGCCTTGCACAAGCGGGAACACGAAAGACGGCGCCAGTCGTACAGGGGAAAGATCGGCTCATCAGTTTGCTGCGGCTTCGTTAGTGTTCTTGGGTCGCAGGAGTCAGCCTCTCGACCAGCAGAAAATGCAAATGGAGCGCCATCACAACAGACAGCAGCAACGATTGCTGAAGGAGAGGGTAGAGGCTTGCCTGCAGGGATAGTGAAGCTGTGGGAGAACGGGTGTAGAATGTCGCGACAAGAGTTAGTTCTTCAGCAAACCCGAGCTGTGAAATTGCTGACGGAAGCCACTCAGGCTGCTGACGTTGCAGACGAGAAAGTTGCAGAATCAGCTAGGGCGGCGGCAGCTGCTGCTGCCGAAACTAAAGCAGCGCTCAATGAGTCAGAGGAAGCGACAGTGAAAGGTTTGGAAGAGTCGACACGAACAACAACACCAACGACAACGGAACAAACGGAGAAGATAATCCTACCCCCAGTAATGCTTGCGCCAATAATTTTGGGTAGCTGCGCTCCCTTCGCCTCCATTTCAGATCCCTGCACAACTACTTTGACGCGCCTTGCTTCGGCGGTGAGCGCTGCCGCTTCTCTAGGTTCTGGCAACCCTGATGCAGTCACTTTCTTTGCGCTGCCGTCCCCGCTAGCGTCAATTTATTCCGTAATAATGCCTGTTGTTCTATACCTTTTGTGTTTGGGAAGCCCACAGCTGGGTAAGTCAGCCAACGCGACACTGCTGCTGCCGCTAGCGATGCCGCTTTGTGGGGTAAGATAGATCGAAGCCAGGAAAGTGACACAGAAGTGCACCAGTAGCAGTTCCACTTGTTGAGCGAGCAGAAGCTGCTGTGATGTGTGGACTGGACGCAGAGCAACGCAGACGACGAGTTGTTGCTGCAGCTTCTGTTCGATTTGGCTCTTCTTCGTCCGCTGCAGCGGCTGCAGCAGCAGCGTCCGCTTCTTCTGCCTGTTCGCACAAGTTCCGCCATACAGGAAACTCGGGGCCCGCTTCCCACCAAAACGCTGCAGAAGCTCTTGCAGCAGCTGGGGAAAAGCCGAGCATCAGCTGAAACGAGGCACAGCCTTGCTGTGCTGCAGCTGCAGTGGGAAGCCTTGGGATTGCTGCAGCAGGCGCTACAATGGGGGAATAGTACAGGGCAGCCTACAGCCCGCTTTAGTGCCGCGCTGTCCTTACTGCAATGGTGTCTCCGTCTTCAGAAATGGTTCTGCTGCGATGTGCACACAAATACACCAAAGCCCAGAGGAGTAGAAGAATTATCACAGCAACAGCTACTGGAACACAAGCTTCTCTGTCCCTTAACAGCACGCGTGGGGTGTTTGCTTCTTGACTTCTTCGCTCGGGCTCTTGAGCAGCTGTTGCTGGTTGCGGCACCTCCAGCTTCAGAGCTTCTTGCTGCTGATTTTATGGAGCCTGTTGCTACGGAGGGTGCTAGCGCTGTGGGTAGCAGCAACACGCTCAGTGGTGCTGAGTTGCTGCTGCAACAATTCATGCGGTGCTCTGTTGCAGTATTTTCTTCCGACGCCGTAGTGTCACCAGATCTCGTCTACCAGCTCAGCCAAGAAATACTCTCCCCACGCCTACGTCCTCGTTCTGCAGCAGAACTACTGTTGCAGCCAGCAACTCGCGAGCTGCTTCCTCCCTTGTTGGAAGCAGTCTCCACTGCCTGTCGTGTCTGTCCTTTTAATCCCGTTCCACGCCGCTGGGAAGGTACAGATGTTAACAGCTGCAAGTACGGCAGATGCTCTGTGATGCTGGAAGAGGAACACGACAGCTCTTGGAGTGTGTCCTTTTCGTCGGCTGTGACCGAAGGAATGCTGCAGCTACTCCAGCAGCTGCTGCTGCTTCTGCCCCGAGCTGTTGAGGCTGATGCACAGCAAAAAGGAGCAAAGACCCAATCACAAAGAAGACGTGCAGCCTCAGCTGCCCTTTCTCTTAGCGCTGTTATGGATAACCCAACAACCCCTTCAGTTCTTCAGGCTTTGCGCAGTTGTGGAGATTGGCTGGCTGAGCACCTGGGCGCCCTCAGAGAGGCCTTGCAGGGTCGAACGGAAATGCTGCAAGAAAAAGCACTGATTCAGCAGTTGCAGCAGCAACACGACTATCTCGAGAAACAGCTCATCTGTCTAATTGACTGGACCTTCGCTCTGTGGCTAAACGCCCCAGCAGCAACCAGAGAAACCGAAGCAGCCAACAAGAATGCAGAAAGTCAGTTGCCTAGTGAGGCAGACGAAGACAACGCTTCCCCAAGTTTTGCAGTGCCTCAACAGCTGCTACTTCAGGAAGCCCTGCGGCTGGCAACAAAGGCCTTCCCCACGTACCACCCTTGCCACAGGTAAGCCGAAGCATTGACAGAGGCTGAACGGCTATGCATACAGCATCATCGCCACTACGAAGTTGTACGATTCGGAGCTGTGCGTTGGTGCATTTTTTTGCAGCTTTTACTGCATGATCTGTTTAAGCTGCACTACTCCAGTCTCCAGAAGTGCTCATGGCAGCGGCAAATCAAAGGAGATTTCTGTGGCCGAGACTGCAACAGATCTGCTGCAGCAGTGTGCACGCCGGGAGGCCCCATCATTTAGCGCGCTCCTGCATTTCTCGCTCCCACGCCTGGGCTTTTGTGGGCAGAAGCCCTGCCAAACTGAGAAGCCTTCAGGGTTGCAGCAGCCCTTTTTCTCCCCTCTGTCTGTGGAACCCCGCGTGGTGCAACAGGAACTTGCTGCGGCGGCCAACACGTCTGTGGAAGAAGTAGCAGAAATCATTTTGCCTCTTGCCAAGCGCCTCGCAAGTCTGTTGCATGACGAGCTTCAGCTCCGTGCATGCATGGGAATAGAGAGACAACAACACCAACAAACCGAGCACCAGCAAACAGAAGAAGAGGACGCATCAACAAGAACAGCAGATGCAGCATCTGCATCAACAGCAACCGTGGCAGATTTACCACTCAAGAAATTGCGCTTGACTTCAAAGGAAGATTCAAGGGCTGGTGCAGAAAGCACAGAGCTTGGGCTGGAGATGATGCGCTCTTTTGCGTCGCTTCTGCTGCCTCTTCTGGTGGCTAAACACCCCGATGAAGCAGTTGAAGCATCAATGCGG